TTGGAAAGGTGCTCGCGCGTACGCTTCTCAAGCTGCGCTGGAATGCACGTCGCTCTTCTTCGTGCCTTCTGTCACCTCCGCTCCCTTCCAAGACGCTGCTCCTCTCTCCCTCTGAGCTCAAGTTCCAGACTTGCCTCCATTCTCCACGCAACTGACCATTGGCAACGTTTGACAGCTCGCGAAGTCGCTCTCTCTTCCCATCGTACTCGACGCAGATGGCCTCTGGCTCCTCGCACAAGAGCCACAGCTGCTGCGCGGCTATGCGGCGGCGCTGCTGACGCCAAACGTGATGGAGTTTGCGCGGCTCTGCGAGGCGCTCCACATCGACACGAGCGCGCCGGACTCGGACGAGGCGGTGAAGCAGCTGGCAAAGGCGCTGGGATGCACGGTGCTGGAGAAAGGAAAAGTGGATCGCGTTAGCAATGGCGAGTGAGTGCCCCCCCCCCCCCTTCTTCTTCTTCTCCTCCGCTGGCTTCCAATCGTGGGCTGACTGTTGTGTGCCACACAACACAGCCAAGTGTTGCACATTGCAGCTCAAGGCGGTCTCAAGCGCTGTGGCGGACAAGGCGACGTGCTGTCGGGCTGTGCGGGCACGTTGGTGGCGTGGAGCACGCTCTCGGCTCGGCGCGCCGAAGTGCCGCAGGCAGAGCGCCTGATGCTGGCGGCCTTTGGCGCGGCACATGTGGCGCGCGAGTGCTCGCGCCGCGCGTTTGAGAGCAAAGGAAGAAGCATGCTGGCGCATGACTTGCTCGACGAGGTGGGAGGCGCTTATGTCAAGGTGAGTTTTTCTCTCTCTCTTCTTGCGTCCCCGAGAGAGGAATGCGAGAGCAATGGACGGGCAGGCACACAGACTGTTGAGGCTGATTCCCCCGCGCGCCCGATTGTGCAAAAAGTACTTTGAGAAGCAGTCGGCATGAGCTGGACGAGCAGGGAAAGGTGGCAAAGAAGGACGCAGCGCTTTGATACGCCATCTCGGACGGCGCGCTGTTTGCGGAGGAGCGCGATGAAGAGGGGGGGGAAGGAGGGCAGAGGGGAACGCTAGGCATTCGAGCCCGATGAAAGCATAACCACACGCCCACTACGCACACTCTACACGATTCTGGCTCGCTCGCGCGTCGCGTCCCTTTGAACGGGGCAGTCAGTCACGCAAGAAACAATCACAGTGCCAGTAAGAAGCGTGCGGGGTCGGGAGATCGCGGCGTGGGGTGAGAGATAAGAGAGCGGCCACAGAGGGAAATTGCGCGAGACGAAGAGAGCGTGGTGTGCGTCAGAATTCCTGACGGGGGAAAAGAGAAGAGGAGCGAAGATGCGAAGGGAAGGTGAAGGGAGAGTAGAGGAAGACTTCGGCTGGTCTCTCGGAGGGGAGGCG